CTCCGTGTTGATTCTGAGTCCCTCGCCAACAAATTCAGGAGTTTTTTTTCTTATCAGAACAATCAAAGTGAGTTTTCTGTACTACTGTACCATCGTAATCACCATTAGACTCATCCAACTCTTTCCAAATCCTCTGCATTGTCCTCAGATTGACACACTGAAATGTTCGTATTGGAGCTTCCGGTGCTAATGCAAAGCAGTACAGCATACCGTTTCCAAATTTCTGACGGAGTTAATTGTGTCATGGTGATCTTTTTCTCACAGACGGTGCTCAACCGACCCTACTATATTGTGCAGTCGACAAAATGCAAATCAAACAACGCGCATGCGCGAAATTCGAAATGACCTTGCCATCAGTGATGATAAAAAAAATTTAAGGATATGTTAGCATTCTAAAAATAACCTTGTAATCAGTGATGATAGAAAAGAAGGATATTTCATCATTCTAACCCTCGTGATTATAAAAACGACCTTTCCACCACGGGAGGGACAAGTAGTAGTAGTCAGTAGAAACACACATCTACCAGCACTCTGGAAGATCGAAAGCAGACGATTTCAAACGCCATCCTCACAAACGAAATTTTCGGAACCAAACCAAGTAAGTACTGACTTTTAAGCAAAGACACACTGAGAATATTTTTACACACACCATACCAATATTCTGTAATTCACATCACAAAAAGAAAATACAAATTCTTGCTATTTATGTCAATGTTATATTGTTGTACGTTTTAATTCGTTTCGTTATCAATATAAAAAAAAACGAGAAAAGGATTATATATATAATATTGGAGTAATTACTTTAACAATATTGAAATAATATCAAGCCAGGATTACTATTACATCAACACTAACTTACCTTGTTACAGAGCGTTCAGAATTTTGGTTAAAGATTTTTTTTTGTCAGATTTTGAAAGATTAGTATAAGAAATTTTAGTGTCTTCTTTAGTACATGGATTTGGAAATTCTTGCAAAAATGGAATAGTTTTCGGATTTTAATTAAACTTTTAAGACTTATTTACAAATGAATGAAATTATTTGAGAAGTGTTTCTTTTTTAGAAAATCTTGGTAAAAATAATTTTTACATCTATTACCCACCCCCACTTATTTAATTTTATAAAATTTTGTGAAATTAATTTTTGTAGCGCTTAATATTTATATTAGTTAAAAGCAGAACTCCTTGAAGAATTTAAACCATCATTTTTTTTTGTAAAACAGGAACATCAGTTACCGAAAACCTGCTTCGAATTGTTAAAGTTTTAGAAAAGTATATTTTAATTTTGAAAGCTATTTTCACCTTGAGTGAATGCCTTTGTATTTGGTTTTTTATTTATTTATTTATTTATTTCGTGGCTCAAGGTTTAGCTTCAATTATATTCCATTTTCCCAGCTATCCCAGTGGAATGAAATTTATGAATTCAAACTCACTTGAAGAGTGGAAATCTGAACGGACTCTTCAAATGATTTCACGAAAAATTGGTTGGCATTGAACGAGAAGAATTTCTCTACAAGATCAAAAGAATTGCCTCAAATTTGCAACATGAACTGAAGATCAACAACAGAAAAAAAATGAGCTAAAAATTGCCCCTGTTTTTTAGATTATATTATTCGGAATCATCTAGTTGATACTTACCTGAACTTGTGCATTGTATTCCGTGCATTGCTTATTAAACCAGTGACTGTTTCAAATGGTGAAAAAAGTTTCAGCAAAACTAAAAATTATGAAAAATTATATGCAATATATAATGAGAGACGAAATGTTATTCAGCTTAGCAATTTCCATTGAAAATGAATGTGCTTGATTCCTCAACTGTGATGAAGTCGTACATTTGCACATGACAAGTCTCGAAAAAAACACTATATAGAATTCACTATTTTTATATTATAGTGGGTCAGCCAATTTGTATTGGTTATAAATAGAAATAAAAACTGACCCTCTAGAATTTTTACAATATCAAATGTAACAAAGAAAACAACAAGAGAAATAATCAAGTAGAAGAAAATGTGAATTTGTTCAACAATAAATATTTTTTTATAAACACAACAAATACATAATATATAGTGCAAAATTTGATAAACACAATAGAGTTCGTTAGTGTGTGTGTTACTGAAAGAATTTGAGCTACTGTACTGTATGTGTGAAAATGACAAGGTTTAGTTAGCTATATTTGTTTTTATAGGAAAATTAAACAGATGTTTTTTTTTGTGTATTAAATAGAAAAAAAGTATTGTTCTTGACTCACTGATTGTTATCGCTCATTAACCAGAGATTCTTGTGGAATGGAATATTTTGTGGGAGTGAGCGTTAAGCCTGGAGATGGTTGACAAAGTTTGTTGTTGTATTGAAGATAAAGTTCGTCTCCTTTGCTGTGTTGATTTCCAATGAAGTCAAGTGAATTGGTTTCAATATTTTAAGTGCCCACTGACCAAGTCGCGTCGAAGTTTCGTTTTTATTAGTTCTCTTGGTCACGTGTAGGAATCTGATTCTACAATAACCCCCCTAGCAGATTGTGAAAGTTTTTGAGAGAAAATTTTCTCAATATGAACATGTCTGCCAGACTTAGTAGTAACTTCCGCGGGTGGTACTGAAGGTGCAAGCTGCGCTGGCTGGGTCGAAGATGTTAGCTCAGGGTTAGGAAGCGATTTATGAGATAAATCGGTGTAAGCCGGTTTCAACCGGTCGACTGACACTGTGTTAGGCTTTCCGTGTAAAAGTAAAGTAAAATGCTTGGACGTTCTAGTAATTACTTTATGTGGACCAGAATACGTGGGGTTAAGGGTCTTCTAACTGCATCTTTTCGCAGGAAGACGTAATCACAACTGTCTAAATTTTTCGGCATAAAGAACTCCCTTGTTTGGGCACGCGTTGGAGTAAAAGCTAGGTTTTCCATTTTTGTTTAAAAATCCTGGACGAAATAGGTAGTCGGTCTGGAAGGAGTATGCTTTTCCACGAACTGTCCAGGGAGTGTTAGCGTACTCCCAAAAACAAGTTCTGCTGTAGTGCATCCTAAGTCCTCTTTGACTACATTTCTTAATGACAGTAAAATCAGTGGTAGGTTTTCCAGCCAAGTCCTGAGTCATCACTTGCTGCTAGTGCTGCCTTAAGTTGCCTATGAAATCGTTCCACAAGGCCGTTTGCACATGGATGGTAGGCGGTTGCAGAAATGTGCTTTACGCTCAACAAGTTTATAAATTCATTGAAAAGGACTGACTGGAACTGGGAACCTCTATCAGTGGTTATTATTGAAGGACAACCAAAGATAGAGATCCACTCTCTAAGAATGCACCTGGAAATCGTTTCCGCTGAAATACTTTTTAAAGGAACGGCTACAGGCCAACGAGTGAAACGATCGATTATCGTTAATAAGTATTGGTACCCATCAATGTCGGGCAAAGGGCCCACTAAGTCAACGTGAATGTGGGTGAACCTACCATCAGGCTTAGAGAATGTACCAGGCGGAGACTTGGTATGCCGTTGTATTTTAGTTTGCTGGCATTTTAAACAAGTCTGTATCCAGAGTTTTATGTCACTGGACATTTTTGGCCAAACGAAACGATCACTAATCATCTTAGTAGTCGCTCTTCGACCAGGGTGCGACAGAGAATGGAAATGTTCGAATACTTTTTTTCGCAAAGAAGGTGGTACATAGGGCCTAGAGTATCCTGTGCTTACATCACAATAGACAGTAGTGTTACCAAATGGCACAGGGTGTTGCTATAACTGTAGTGACGTTTTTTCTTTTACTGATTCCAAAGTAGTGTCAGTCTTTTGTTCTTCCGCTAAGGAGTCGAAATTCAAGGTCTGTGCGTCAATTGACTGTATCGTTGATCGCGATAGGGTATCAGCTACTATATTGTCAGCTCCTTTTACATAGCGGATATCCGACGTATATTGGGAAATATAATCCAATTGTCGGATATCCCTTGGGGTATATTTGTCCGACTTGGCGCGCAGAGCATAAATTAATGGTTTATGATCTGTATAGACCACAAAATTCCGTCCTTCCAAAAGATGACGGAAATGACGGATTGCCAAGTATATTGCCAGTAATTCCCTTGAAAATGCGCTGTACTTTTTCTGAGATGAGTTTAGCTTGACTGAAAAGAACGAAATAGGTTTTTTAGCATCTCCTGTTCCTGGTGAAGCACAGCCCCTATGGAGTCGCCTGATGCGTCTGTTGTCAGTGTGATCATTGAGTCATCATCGGTTATATATGATAACTTCGTAAAGTTGGCAAGGGCGTCTTTGGCTCTGTGAAAAGCAGTCAGTGATTCGCCTTCCAAGGTAATCTTTGAGTTCTTCTGACGCTGTTGTTGCAGTAAATCTGTGAGGGGAATCAGAATCTGGGAACAACCAGGAATGAACCTCCGGTAGTAATTAATGAGGCCTAAGAATCGGCGTAACTGCCGGAGTGAAGTTGGTTGTGAGAAATTTGAAATAGATTCTATTTTCTCAGGTAAGGGCGTTAGTCCCTTTTCGTCAATGACGTGTCCCAAAAAATTTAAGCGAGGGCACAGCAAAAATACATTTCTCTGCGTTAATCTTTAGGCCAAAATGCTGTAGACGCTGGAAAACTTGTTCAACGTGGTGACGATGTTCAGTCTTGTTTTACTGGCGATCAGGACGTCATCAATATAGACAAAGGTGAAAGGTAAACCTCTCAGCACTTCGTCTATAAGTCGTTGGAAAGATTGTGCAGCGTTCCTTAAACCAAATGGCATTCTCACAAATTCGTATAAGCCAAAAGGAGTAGTTATTGCTGTTTTATGGATGTCTTCCTTGGCCACTGGTATCTGGTGGAATGCTTTCACCAGATCAAGTTTGGTGAAGACTGTGGCACCCTGCAGACCCACTGCGAAATCGTGCAAGTGCGGGATGGGGTATTTATCCGGAATTGTAGTAGCATTCAGCTTCCGGAAGTCGCCACAAGGTCTCCAAGCTCCTGAGTCCGGTTTTGGAACCATATGAAGAGGAGATGAGTAAGGACTCGAAGAAGGTCTAATTATAGCGAGGTCCAGCATGTGCTGAACCTCGTCTTTCGCCAGCATTGTGACGAACGGTTTCTGTATACCGGAATGGTGTTGTAATTTGAGAATTTTTTTCTAACAGATCCTGCATTCCGTTGGCTTCAGGTAGAGTTGCGCTGATACATGTGTTCGTATAAATAGATGTAATTCCTTTCCTTGTAATGTTGGTCGTTTTATCCTCCAAAGAAAAGGAAGACATATTAACGGACAAGTTAAAATGGGCGAGGAAATCCGCTCCTAGGATTGGGGTTCGAACTTGGGCTATCGTGAATACCCACGGAAAAGATCGCCTAAATCCCAGATTTAAGATTAACGAGGTTTCACCATATGTCTGGATTGAAGATCCATTCGCCGCTTGTAACGTATAATCTGTCTTTCTAGTCAACATATTAGGCTTGGCTGGTATTACACTAATTTGTGCCCCAGTGTCCACTAAAAACAAGTATCCGGAGTTCTCATCTTGGGTGTAAAAAGAGACGACTTTTTGGCATCCCTCCGGCAGCAAACGTCTCTACTTGTTGCCGGGATAGTCGTTTCCCGACTGCTGTGTGTTGTTATCCTTAGCTGCATTTATGTCGAAGTTACACGGTTTCGTACAATGCCGCGCTTGTTGTCCATATTTAAAATGATACCAACAGGTATTAAATATAGGCCTGCTTCTGGATGTGGAACGTGATCTTCGCCTAGTATGATGTGATGGACGTGGTCGACTAGTGAAATTGTTGGGCGTGCGATTTTGCTGATGCATAGCGGTTTGTAGAGCTTGTAACTGTGAGGTAAGCTCTGCTATACAATCTTTAATTTTCGATAAATCTTGTGAGTCACGGACTGAAGAGACAATAGGTTGTAACGGTGTCGCAGAAACAGTTCCTGGAGGTTTATTCTCATATATTTTGTTCGCGATTTCTGCCAATCGCTGTAGGTCCAAATCGTCCGGGAGTGACACTAATATTTGTGATGTTTGTGGGCTCAGTTTATCCATCCATAGTTTACGGAGGACTGTGTCAGACATGGTATTGTCACCTAGTAAAGCTTTCATCTTTCTAAGCAATTGGGAAGGTTTATAGTGTCCCAAATGAAGGTTGTTAAACAAATCGTGCAACCGACGTTCCTCTGATTCGCCCGTGCGGTATAGTATAGCATCTTTCAAAGTATCATACGGTTTCTCCGCCGGCACTTCACTGAGGAGGTCTGCTACATCTGAGGGAAGTTTCTCAACTACAAAAGCGTAACGGGCATGTTGAGACGTGACCTTTCTTGCATTAAAAATTGCGTTTAACTGCGCAAACCACACTTGAACGTTGGTGTGGTTGTACGTCGGTAGACTGATGGAAATTGCCGCTTCAATATGTTCGCTGGTAGAATTTTCCATTGTTTTCGTTTAAAACATGACAACTAAAGTATTTCTCTTATAAAATGCTGTTTTTAAAATATTGCTTTGCACATTTGAACTTCGGGGTCAGCAATTTATAGTGGGTCAGCCAATTTGTATTGGTTATAAATAGAAATAAAAACTGACCCTCTACAATTTTTACAATATCAAATGTAACAAAGACAACAACAAGAGAAATAATCAAGTAGAAGAAAATGTGAATTTGTTCAACAATAAATATTTTTTTATAAACACAACAAATACATAATATATAGTGCAAAATTTGATAAACACAATAGAGTTCGTTAGTGTGTGTTACTGAAAGAATTTGAGCTACTGTACTGTATGTGTGAAATGACAAGGTTTAGTTAGCTATATTTGTTTTTATAGGAAAATTAAACAGATGTTTTTTTTTGTGTATTAAATAGAAAAATAAGTATTGTTCTTGACTCACTGATTGTTATCGCTCATTAACCAGAGATTCTTGTGGAATGGAATATTTTGTGGGAGTGAGCGTTAAGCCTGGAGATGGTTGACAAAGTTTGTTGTTGTATTGAAGATACAGTTCGTCTCCTTTGCTGTGTTGATTTCAATGAAGTCAAGTGAATTGGTTTCAATATTTTAAGTGCCCACTGACCAAGTCGCGTCGAAGTTTCGTTTTATTAGTTCTCTTGGTCACGTGGGGAGGCTCGTTAAACATGTTTACATTTTATGGCGTCAACTAGAGGTCAAAATTTGGGTCGGTACCTTCGGACGTAGTTGACGACACCTAATTAATATTTTACAACCAATCAAAATACATCAGTTGTTATATTTGGCTGGGAGCCTCTATGTGTTTAACTTGCACAAAATTTAAGATTTAAAAAAATGTAGGAATCTGATTCTACAATATACATAATGTTGGATGTGTTAAAATCATTTAAATTTTTAACAGGAAAAATTTCAAGTTGATGTTAAAAATTGCTGCAAAATATTGTTAATTTATTTAAGATGGAATGATGATCTATTCTGACATGTCCCTGATTTATATTTAGATACATTGTATTTATTTTCTAGTTCAATTGTTCACCTATATTGTATATGATCCCTTACTGTATATAATTAGGTTACAATAAAATTTCTATTTTATATGAATACTACCATATAAAAATAGAGATGTAGTAGAGTGGGAGGAGGTTTTATAGACCGGGGTGGGAGCACGAGACCTTACACCAGCTCTGCTGGCCATGACCTAAAACTAAGTGTCCATCGCAAATCAACTAACACAAATTATCTCATAAATGACTATTTTCACTATAAAAGCAAAATAAAATCTCGAATAATTATCGGATTCTATTTAAGAGCAATTATAATTTGCAGCCCTCAATATTTACAAGAGAAGAAATACATTGAAAATACTTTTAAGCTCCTCTAATGCACTAATTATTTCATAACTAACGCGAAACAGAAAGCTCATCAAGTTTGTAAAAAAATAAAAAAATGAACCATATAAACAAACTTAATGAAACGAGATACATTACACTACCTATCAACTCTATCACAACTACACTTGAAAAGAATTTATCTACAAACTTAATATAAATTTCTTGCAACTACGTTTAAAACAATACGAGATGAAATAATAACTATCTAAAACCTGAAGTGATAACTTACTTAATAGCCACAAGGAATACATAGGTGAGACATCGAGAAATTTAAATAAAAGATTATATGAAAAATGAAATCTTTTACAAGCAACACGTCCAATATATCAGTCGCTCATTGTAATAAATCTGGCCATAAATTCGATCTAAAAAATGCTGGTTTAATTAAAAGAGAAAACAGTTTGCTCAGGCGAAAATCTATAGAAAGTGTACAGATTGCTAACTCATACAAGGTAAATTTGGGTTCAGGTTATTACCACATTTAATCTTTTTCGGCAGACCTTCTGTTGTCACGGTGGGGTATAATTAAAAAAGCAACAACGATAAAAACCAACCCAAAAGCGCACGGAAAATGGATGATATCGGCTAACGAAAATTACTTAAAATTTTAAAATTTAACGTTCCCATTTTTTCATCGCTTCCCCTCGGGGCATTTATTATAACCGATGTTTACGTCTATAACTCCCCTTCCCCAATAAACTCCATCAATAAAAACATTACTTTTAGTCTAATGAGGACGAAGCGAATCCCACAGATTTTTTCACTTTCTCTTTCAACTACTTAATATCTTAAAATGGAAATCATATTTAGTTTGCAGTAACAAAATAAGTGATAAAAACCGTATATTATTTTTCTATCCGAACAAAGTGTATTTTGCTGACTTTCTTTCACAACTTTTCCCTCTGATTGTATTTTAGACAAAGCATTTTTATACGAACAAAAGTTTTCGCCAGCTTTCTTTTGAAAGGTACAGACATTAACAAGATCAGTGAGTGAAAGTAACAATTTTAGCTGAGTATGCAATTTCGTATTAATATCTCGAAGAAAGGATATTAGCTTAAAGAAATTCTATTAAAGCAAAACCAGACGAACTTTCATTTTATCTTTGTCACCACCGTCAAGTGCCAGTAGATGCGACATTAATATTTGGTCTTTTGCTAAACAGAATCTCAAAGTAGTCGAGTCTAATTTCTTTCAATCAAGATTCCTACCATTTTGCTTATCAACAACACTGAAACATTTTTTTTTAATTTGTTGGCACAGAATTTCACACTAAGTGACACTTTACCTGATTAAAAAGAGAAAAGTTCACGTAAACGCGTAAGCATGCACACACAACTTTATTTTAAGGTCTGAAATGACTTCCCCGGAGAAAGAAAAGACTGATAACGAATTTATTATTTCTATTTTCCGATAGTGTGATTTCGAAATGTTTGAAATATCCGTTGAAACACAGAGAACTCTGGTTAACTTGAAAGTTGAATATACTGATCAGTCCGTTGAAATTCCCCGAACTTTTCTAGAACATCTTTAAAGATCAATCACCAATATAGTTTCTTTTTTTTAATTATTCAAAATATTATTCATACACTAGATCATCATATAGATGTTATTATAGACAGAACGTTTAGGCCAAGTACTCTCCAACCATCTTCAGGTGTTTGACTGATATGATTGATTATTGTCTTATTTTGTCTTTGCTATGGTAGTTTTTGTTCGTTCACACTAAACCAGTGCATATTGTTTCACTACCTGATTCAGGGATTGAATTCACGACCACAGTAAAGCCTGTATAACTAACTCTTATATCAATATAATATATATTCGCTGTCACGAAAGACATCCATTAATTAAATCCAATGTCAGAGGCTTTCAATATTTGACTATAATGGAGAATTCGTAACACTTTTGCTGGGTTTGTATTTCGTTTTTTTTTTGGATGAAGAATTGTCAATATAATTTTTTTTAAATTAATTCGAACTATTATTTTCAACTTGATTATTATATATGATGTTGTTCTTCAGGACGGGGCTCTCCCCGATTTCCTGTCCTTTGTTGCTCTTAATAAACTGTATTTTCGTTATCTCTTCTAAACCTTGTTCCGCCATCCATTTACTCAAGCTCATTAAGTAGGTTATGCGTTGTTTTTCTTTCTCCTACTTGCCTTCAATCTGTCCTGTGTGTATCAACTTTTCCAATTCCTCTTTCCTCATTATGTGACCTAGAAATTTCAACTGTCACTTCCTGATCTAAAGTACAAATGTCTTTTTGTTTCCATTTTTTTAAAACTTCATTGTTACTGACATGTTTGGTCCGTGGTCTCATCAGCATCCTGCTGAAGAAACACAATTCTGTTGCTTCAAGTCTCCTCTTCCTCTTTAATGATTGTCCAGCATTCACTGGCATATAGGAGGACATATATCACGTAACAGTTCAATACGCTTTTATTTGTTTCTAACGAAATTTTTTTTTTTTTTTTAATATTCTGCTTAGCCTTTCGAAGGCATCTTTGTCTATCCCAATGCACCTTCGGATTTCAGAGTCACATTTTATATACTCTGTTAAAACACTTTTTCAGATAATTAAATTTTTGTACTTGTTTGATTTTGGTATCTCCAATTTGTAAATAATCTGTGAGGAGTACAAACTATTATTACGGCTTTAAGAACAGACATTTTAAAATAGTTTATATTTTATAATGTATACACACACATATTTAAAAGGGTTGGGTGGGAAGAGCAAGGATAATAAAAACAATTTCACTCACCGTAAACTGATGAACTGAAAACTATAACAACGTAGAAGCAATAGAAAATAGACGGTTATCGCTCCTAGCTCTTCATAGCTCAATCGAGTATATAAGTATGTGCTCAACATCTAAAAGAAAGGGAATAAAAAATACTCCCAGAGAATCAAGAATATTAGATTATTATGGTGGTTTTGTAACACTTTTGATAATTTTCTATTTCATTTATTAGATGAGGAATTATCAATACAGACACACACACACACACACACACACACACACACACACACATATATATATATATATATATATATATATATATATTATGTAAAAAATGAAATACAATTTTCCTAACTCAGGAAAACACTAGAACGCTCAAGAATTAAAAACGACAGTATATGTCTGGAAAACCGAAAGCCAAAATGGCTACAATTGAAAGAAAACATGAAAAAGAGATAAAAGGTTTAGGTGGAGTGTAAAGTGAAAAAATAAAAAAAACGACGAAAATAGAAAATAAACACGACATTGCGCATGGGTGCGCGAATGCACACACACATACACTATGAAAAAAAACTTGCACCAATAAAAAGTGCATATAAGAAAGAAAAATCCTGAAGTATAAGCACTCAGTGGGTGATATTCCAGGATGAGTGAACGGAGTGATTTCTGGATATTTTGATATGTTAGGGATAAGGAAAAATTCCGGTGCTGTGATGATTATATATTAAAAAAAAAACAATTATAACATTACGCTCTACGGTTGTGTCGAGCACTGTTTTTTTTTAAATAAAATAAATGCTAAGAACTCTGAATTATAAATCTCATAATAGGAAAGAACACTTTCCTATTATATATATATATATATATATATATATATATATATATATATATATAATTTATTTGAACGGTTATTTTCATTTTGATTGATTATCAATGTTATTATTTCTATAAATCCCAATCTGAAAAATGAAATACAAAATTATACAATCGCAACATTAAACGCATCTTAACACGGCAACAAAAGCTTCGACCAAAACAGAATCGCTAAAAAATATTTGTTTCCAGTTGGCATAAATTTTCTAAAAGTTCGTAACGAGCATTTTCACTTCAATAAATGAAAAGAAAATCTATGTGACACGACTTCACAAAGAAAGCGAAAATCCTGACAGGTCACCCAAACATTGACCAGTGGTTAAGCTAATTTTTCTTAAATGATAGCCACTGTGACTGTTTTGTAAATAAAGTAGAGACTATGTTTGCTAGTGGCCTATAAGAATTAGCTATCATTATTATGCGCATGCTGAGTATTTGTACACATATTATATATGCATATATGTTCACACACACACACACACACACACACACACACACACACACACATATATATATATATATATATATATATATATATATATATACACTACAGTTCAAAAGCTTGAAGCCACCCCAAGAATTAGCATGGGATGAACTTGACAGAAGATTGAAAAAAGAATGGATTCATTTATTAAACTGATTCTTTAAGAAACTCCTCCAACGAATGCCAAAAATTTGTGCTGCAGTAATCAAGGTTAAAGGAGGATATTTTGACGAGAGCAAAATTTAATCATAAAATGCTTTTTTTCATTTTGTTATCATAAAATTTCTAATAAAAAATCATGTCTCACTTTTTTTAACCATATATAAAAATTTTTTCTTATTTAAAGTACAAAACTACTTTTGGGGTCAATTTAAAAAAATTACCAGAGGTGGCCTTTAACTTTTGAACCCTGTGTGTGTGTGTGCGTGCGTATGTATGTTTGTCATAAAGCTTTTAAACATATTTGCCAGTTGATTAATGAGATTTACACGGAGGCGGAAGTTAAAAGTTTTTGAAAATCTTCTAGTTTGACTACATGTATGAAGTTACTTCTCAAGTACACAAATGTTTATAACAAACACACACGCACACACATATACACACACATATATATATAACTGGCACTCCTATTCGAGGATACTCGTCTACTAAGGCGGGTAGCTAATCCCTACTGAAGACGCTTGCTCAGGCGCATTTGTGTTTATTCAACACCCACAGAGCCCACGTGTGGTCTATACTGCAACTATGCTGAGAAGACCTTAGTTACAGTTTCTGGGAGAGAGCGTGTTATCTAGCATGATCAACAATTTGAACAAGGCCAGCACGCTCAAGCCCTCGGACACGATGACTTGTGATTTCATCAGCTATTGACGACACCCAAGGATTCCGTTTACCCACAAGGCTTTACAGTCGGATAACAAATCATTTCTGACAAATCGGCCATGGTGAGATTCGAACTCGGGTCTCATTGTCAGAATGCGAACGTTCTAACCTCGGCTATATATAAATATATATAATTGCGCGTTAAAAATATAGTTTAAGATATACTATATTTATGAATACTCAATATCAGGGATATATTTATGTCTGAATTTCTGGGATAAGGATTTATCATTATACACACTATTTATATTCGGACTATTGTCCTCATCTTTGTTGTTGTTATCACACCGCTTCAGCCGTTGTGCCATCCCCCCCCACCGTGCTTCTTCAGGTCTATATATGTCTGGATATTCTACAGGGGATTCAGAAATGATCCCTTTTTTTAATCTACGAGGATAGACTTTTTTTGTTCCACCATTTAGTTCTTATGGTCCTGTAAAGCCAAATATCGATGCTGCACCGCCATCAGCAACTGAGTTATAACTTTTTGGGGGTGCAGTTGCATGGTCTCTCGTGACCGACGGATGCTACATATATCTTCTCAATGAAAAGCTCTATCGCAATCTTTCGACGGCAATATTTTAGGTCAAATAACAGCTGTTGAATTTTATCCTGATACTAGTTATAAGAAATGTGAATTCACGTGACTTATAAATTTACAGATTACAACAATATATATATATATATATATATATATATATATATATATATGATAAAATTATAGTTGAAATGCTATATTTAGTGGTAAAAAATATCAGGGATAGAGCGTATAAATATATAAAAGTGGACATTGAGGTTAATTAATATCGAGTGACGACAGTCCGATTTTTCATGCTAACGCAATATTCAGGGCTGAAGATTGCGTTCATATATATATATATATATATATATATATATATATATATATATATATGTTTCCGCGTATAAGAAGTGGTAAAAATATACCAAATTTTCATGAATTTATCCTATAGTATAAGACGACTGCTAATTTGTTATATATATGATGCTATTGAAAATGTTACTTACTGTGTCCTTAGAAATTCAAAATAAACGAAATAACAAAACCGATTCTATATAATGTTTTTCCTTCACACGTCCCTAAAAGGGAAACCATTGTTTTATTTATGTTTCATCACGTGATTTCTTGCCAATACTGATTCTTCTTCTTCTTCTTCTTCTTCTTCTTCTTCTTCTTCTTCTTCTCTATAAACCACTACAACATATTTTTACTTGAAAAATAAAGGTTGTATGTAATCCTAAATTGTGCTATTATTTAACACCAAAATGATAAGGAATTTTAATGAGAAATGAATATTATATTATCCTAAATGTTATTGCTGCCATAATTAACACTACCATGATGATTAGTGAAAGTTTAGCAAAAGATAAAGGTTGCTGTGAACGGAATCATCACTCGACGTTTACATTTTCTCAGCTGTACTTGCATGGATACAAGTTGATTTCATTGATATGGAATTATTCTTCGAATAGTCAATTTATTATGAAGTTATGCCAGTAATATATAAGGTAGAAATGGTTTATTACTTTTATTATCAGTTTATTTGATAACGGGGAATCTTTTCATGTGTGTTATTGGTTATCGTGCCGAGGCCGAGGTGAGCCTACCGACAAACATCACTCAGAATTTAAGGTTTTTTTTTTAGAATTGTAGTATAAGACTACCCCACCCCTAATTTTTAAGGGTGATTTGGGGGATCTAAAGTTCGTTTTATGGCGACACTGAAGACATGAGTTGGTTAAATGTTAATTCTAAGCAGAGAAAGGGTTAAGCCCAAAATGAAATACAAACTGGAAGATTGAGAGATAGATAGATAGATAGAGATAGAGAGAGAGAGAGAGAGAGAGAGAGAGAGAGAGAGAGAGAGAGAATGGAAGACATTTCCGTGGTAATGTGAAAAAAAGAGTCATCTGGATTGTCTTACTAATTGGAACTATGCACGAAGTGTTTACTGTTTTTACCTATCGAAAATCTGGCATGCGGGTAAAGCAAATTGGGAAATGGCTTTATTTCTTTCTTGGGACATTACAAAAACACGTCATTGGCAAGAAGAGAGGCAGATGGGAATTATATTTTCGTTGGAGAAAGCGAACTGAGAAATGAAAACAGAGAATAAACTCGCTGCGAAGGTTAGAATTATGAAAATCGATCCTCTCGTAATAGACAGGTGATCTGGTTTATGTTTTTGGTAAGGCGGCGAACGGCCTAAGGATGGAGAACATCGCGTACCTGTGGTGAGAATTTAGTAAAGCAATTATAATTTTCGTTGATCGAAACAAACTGGCACTCGGAAGATTAAAATGAAAAGCAGTGGTCTTGGTTTGTGTTCTCGCTGGACGGAGATGATTGTAGGAAAGTAGAAGGGAGTCATATAATTTAAATCAATGAGGAGAATAAACTACGCTCTTTTAGCTACGCACTTTAACAATTAGATTTGTTACAATGACAGTTATACCAGCCCTGAGAAGTGGGCAGATTTAGAATACCGGGAAGGAAGGAGAAAATGGCAGAATTTAGCCCGCCTGTGTGGAGTGGTGATGAGAGGTGTGAAGTGAAATGGGTTGGAGTTAAGGGAGGAGCAATCCCTGTGACTACTCCCAAGAAAGATGGATAATTCTCCAAATTTAGAAAGTTGATGAAAAAAGCAGAAATAGGTAACAAAGAAAACCTTTACTGGGATTAATGTGAGGATTAGGGAATCACCGAACCCCCAGAACCCTTCGACCCCATACCAGTTTTGGGTCAAAGTGCATATAAGCAGATGACTTTGGGAACTCAGAGAACCTGCATCAAGTGCCTATGGAATCTTATCAGCTGCCACCAGATTTCCTGATTATTAAGAACTTTGAACCCAGCTCCCCCAGAAGTTTAGACAAGGCCCACTGTCACTATAGAAGTTGATGCAGAATGGGTTAATTTTTGTTGCACCAAGAGCTATGTAAACCCACTGAAGATAAACCCCATGAATCTCTCGTTTTATTTTTCGTCATGAAAATATTTTTCTTCCTTAATATAGCACCCAACACGGTTTGAAGAGAGCTGCGTTACTACGACTTTCGATCTTCCACTGCTCTGAGATCAAGAACACAACGTGGGCAGAGATGGTGTAGATCGAAGCGACCAGCGACCAACAACCAGCTTGGATCAGCGTCAGCATTGACCAGCGAAGAGTTGACCGCGTGGTTAAAACGTCGTACTTAAACTCTGAGAACCGGACCACTGAACGTGGCGTGGTTACACTACCGAGTGTAGGCAGCGACAAAAGGTGTTATATTATACGTGGAAATATATATATATATATATATATATATATATATATATATATATATATATATATAACAGTAAATTGTAAGTATAGTTTACATTTTACCTTACAATTTAGTTAAACTTTGGAATTTGATTATGTTTTTTCTTATATTTTAGTTGTATTGCGTTGCACTATATCTGGCTTATCTTTCTATTTTTAAGATTAATCTGGATTTAATATAATTTTGTATTAATTTCCTGGTAGTATAAGTAACATCTTGCTATTTTTGACATTTTACATTGATTGGTTAGTGTTCTTGACATGTTATATGAAGGATCTTTATTTAACAGTTGCTTATTAATTTACCAAATAATTCTATATGTTTAAATTATTTACTCGTCTCTTAAAGGCGCCATTTATTTATCAACTACAAAAAAATTATCTGGGAAATTCACAAAGCATATAACTTGTTTAGCATTTTGTTAAATTACCGCTCTACCCCACTTTTATTTTTTTAGGAAACTGCATTGTCTGGTTTGTATATTTTATGTAACCATATGTATTCGCTTTAAGTTTATGTCTGACTGCTGTTAGTTGCTAATCTACGGGTCATGGTCCATTTATAAAAAATAATCTTTAATTTTTACTTCTTCGCTTAGTTTAAATTTAATGTAGGTTATATTTCATTGGTTGATCAGAGTAAAGCCCTTAAACCTTATAACCCCCATTTTTTCGAAAAAAGAGGTTGTATTTTGCTTTTAAATTTAAAATCGTTCACGCATCAGTATGCATTGATATACATTGAAACATGACTGCAATTGTGTAAGGATTTTACATGTTTTCTGTGTTATATCCTAATATATATATATATATATATATATATATATATATATATATATATATATAATAGCTTCAACTTTCGGACTGTTTTAAATGTTGCATCTCGAAAAAAACTTATTTTTTCCTTTTTTCAGCGCCATTTAAATCTGTTCACGCTTACAGTTTCTTTCTTGAGCAGGGTCAGAGAGTGCAAAATCAATATTTTCTTTGCATGTCTGCACGTAGACATTCTTTCACGTTTCTGATTCAAAAAGAATTTCTGTTCAATTTACCACCAACAGTTTATTTACATTAGAGAAATCCACTCATGACGAGCATATATCCATTTTATTCACCATTCACTTTAGTCACTACAGAAGTTATGAGGCACTAGAGTTTAGTGCCTCATAACGCCTGTATATCTATTTTGCAGAAGCACGGTGCGTTCACACCCCCGTGTACTGTATTCACATGAATACGTCAGCTTATATACTGTTCAGAATTACCGCAGATCTTTTATGTGTCGGACATCGGTGACCATAGTTTTCTCGAACTTTCTCTCCCTTTCGGCCTTAAACAGTTTCTTATACTTTAGCTAAGGCTTCCGTAATTCAAAAAAGCTCCTCAGGTAGGCGGCTCACTGGCTTCCCCTCTCTCTCTCTTGTCCTTAATATGCCCCGTGAGGTTTGTTTTCTAAGGCCTCCTTTCTTATTATGCTCAAAGAAATATCACCTGTCTTCCTGATTCTGAGCAGAAGTATTCGTTTTTGTTGCCATTTTCTTTAAGACTCCCTTGTTGCTTACTCGATCCGTCCATGGAATTCTCAGAATCTTTCTGTAGAACCCCAATTTCTGTTGACTTTAGTCTTCTCTTCGTCTGTTGGCATTTTCTGTCATATAAGAGTGTTATGGTCCAAGTTCCTTGTACCACGGTGATGGTCCAAGGTTTGAATCAATGAAAGAATAACACGAACACAGGTATGGAATACAAAGATATATTACAACAAAAATATAACACAAAGAAGTAGAAGTATTAGTAATGACTATCAGATTTGGTTAGAGTGAACTATGTTGTCTCGACAAGTATCACTATTCCAATGTCCTTACAATATGCTCTCAATTATCTCTCCTCGTCTTACAATATCTTCATACCTCTTGAGAGGCGCAGTATTTATAATGTCAGGAATAGTCCATTATTATTATGGGTAAGTTCCCATAACAAAGAGGATGGATATTACATAGCAATCCATCATCCTTTTCATTATTTTAACGAAGTTTTTCTGCTTTTCAACTATTTGCTTCGCATTTGGAATGCCTCTTTTTGCTAACCCGATGGATACTTCGGATTTCGGTGTCGGATTTTCCATCCTCTGTTAAAACGCTTTCCAGGTATTTAAACTTCTGTACCTGCTTGAAGTTTATATCTCCAATTCTTAACTCGCATTTTGGGTTTTTCTCTTGCTGATAACATACTTTCTGTCTTCTTGCAGTTGATGGGTAGTCTTATTTTCACTACCACCATGTCTATGAGTTAGTTGTAGTTTTCTTTCCGAGTTGGTCATCAACAGAGTGTCAGAGTGTCATTTGTGTATCTTATTATTGTTAAAATTATGCCCACCGATAATAAATCCTGCTAGGGCCTCCAGGTCCCTTAGAATAGCATCGCTGTAGATGTTGAATAAATCTTGGGGAGAATGTGCATCCTTGTCTCGTGCCAATTTCTGTTTTTGTGTATCTATTCAAGCCATTTTCTATCGCTATACAGACAGTTTACTCCCAGTATGAGTTTTGGATTATTCTAACCTTCTTTCCAAGTAGATCGAGCTTTCTCAGAAGTTCAAAGTTCATCCTATTCTATGTTCATTGTCTTCATCGCCTAGACTTATCTCTTAGCTTTTGAAATGTCTCTTTCGTTAGACCGATGGGTACTTCGGATTTCGGTGTCGCATTTTCCATCCTCAGTTGAAACACTTTACAGATATTTAGATTCCTGCACCTGTTTGATGTTGACATATCCCATTTGTAACTCACACCTTGTTTTTTTCTTTCTCTTGCTGATGATCATACTTTTTGTCTTCTTGCATTTAATGGTTAGTCCTCAAAATACATTGTCGAATATATATACCAATTTTCGTAAAAATTAAGTCAATTGAATTTTTACTTAGGTGGTTCATTTCTTTTATTCGCTAATATATATAATAATATATAGAGAGCATTTATTTAAATATTTGTATCTATAAAAAGAATGTTAAACATAAAATGTCTTATATATATATATATATATATATATATATATATATATATATATATATTTCTTCTATGTGTCGTGTCTCTTCAGGATGTGGGCGACCATAGTTGCAATAACAATCATAAATAAGAATGCTGGTTGTTATTTTAAGAAGTGGGTACAAATGACAAGATTTGCAATTGACACCTTTTCCCTATTTTACTGAAGCAGACGTTAAGCGCATCCATCTTCCTTTCTTTCTTTCATTTTCTCATTGAAACTAAGTAGCGATTTTATATATTTTTCTACTGAATCGATTAAAACAGAATAGTCCATTATTTATGAGGTAATGGCAGGGCGTGACGGTCGTGTGAACTAACGAAGGGAGGGGGACAAGCACAATTATTATATATGCTGCTATAGGTTAATGAAGTTTTTGAAATGAAAACTATACTTCTAAATTAAAAGCAGCAAAATCAATTCAAGTCTTGATCTAAGAACTTTAAAATTTGAATCGAAGCAACTTTTCAAAAAATTCGTGAAAAAATCTTTAATGTAATTGATCCCGACTTGGCATCTCGACTTCAGT